TCTCCGACACATCCTTATCATCAATCCGGTCTTTCCATAGGATATCTTGGATAATTTTTGATTCCCTTCTATATCTCTAAGTTTCAGTCATACCATCGTTTTTTCAGATTTTCTGTTCTTTTAACTTTTAACGGTCTTTTCCTGTCCGATAGAACCAGGTGCCCGTAGACGCGACTACCGAATGTCTGGCTGCCATGGCGCATATTTGCCGCGGCCTTCTTGCCAAACCGGAGCTGCGTTCGCGCGTAACTCGAGAAGACACTTTGATGCTGTGTCTGCGTGTCATGACTGGTGTCATCATTCTTTACGACCACATTGACCCAAACGGCGTTTTTCGGAAGGCATCGAAAATGGATGTAAGACATTCTATCTCCTTTCCCAACTCACTTGTTTATACAGCAAGTTATATGCGTCTATACCTGCTTACAGATGAGTGCGCTACTGAATTCACAGATCTTTATATTGTTCATATTTCTTTTTGGGGTTAATGAATCAAACATTTAAGTTTTGGCAGTTCAAGCCACATTCGACAAGAGCTATCACGCAACTATTATTTATTCTTGTTTCAGTTTAACCCAAACAATAGGGTATATTTTTCATGTGAACTTTTTATTTACTTGTAAGCAAGAATATCGAGGGCACGTGGGATTATAAAATGCGTAATAAAAATATTCCATCCTTGGGCTTCCGCAACAGGTTGCTGCCATTTAGGTGCCTGTGGTATCTATATAATTAATTTATGTTGTAAATTCCTTTAGACGATATTTTTTATCGAGTGTAATTCTCATTTTTAGGAGCATTTTCAAGTATATTTGGCAGTCCCTTTGGCATCTATTTCTCTGGTTTAATCTTGAAATGCGTTGTGCTCAAATTCGCTAAAGTGCATTTCTCATATTACGTAAAAGATTGATTTTATTTTTATTTATTTTATAAATAGGATATCTTTTGGTTTGAGGCTATCCATTGATTATTTTTGTCGACTTATTAGGATTCAGGTTTTTTTATTGGACTAGTAATTCACGATTAATTTAGGATAACGTCCTTTTTAGGTGCGTGGCAAAATGCAATTTATCGCGAAACTCAGGCATTATCCTTTATTAGCAAACTGGACAGATTAACTATCAATCCAATAAACTTATATACCTCTGTATGGGGAGTTTAGCCCAGTGAAACATAAGATATGCAATAGTGGACTACTTAAGGATTGACGCTTCTGAGCTAACTAACGTTACATCAACGGTCGCCGCAATCGTCAATAAGTGGCGCCATCGTCAGCGCAGGGTTACAACTTATAAAAGTGACAACTGAAGGCAATCCCTTTGACCAATTTTTTGTTCAGCCATTGTGGTCTCTCCTCGCCACTATTTTTCTTCTACCTTCTAGGGCTGCATCTCCTCTCAATCCAACTTCATACGGCCCATCTATTCACACAATTCTGTACTCTCGTCTTACTTCAATGTCGCCTAAGTTTGATAAAGGTTCGGATATCCGGGTGCATGATGAGCTCTTGTATGGCACATGCTTGCGAAAGTACGGATAATGACCTATTATTGCCTTAAAAATTTATTCTAATGACTGATTACGATAACATATAAATTAACTGTTTCGAAACAGGATAGCTATCGGAGGCAGTTTAACGCAAATCAGCCGACTTCTAGTGAGATTGATTTACGAATCTCTTCATCATGTACTTCCATACGAAATGAAAGTCTTGACATCAATATAATCTCAGGAGATTTTTCATAGCCCGCATTTTATTCGTATATGCAATATATATCTGATCAGTCTATACCTATAAATCTAAAATCCTAATACTGCTCACCTTACAAATTGATTATTTTATCGTTTTGCTTTTGCTTTTTTTCGATAGAATACAATAATTAAGCGGGGTGAATCTTAGAGATAATTTTTACTCTGTTTCTGGGCCTCTTATCTCTAAATGATACGTTTTGTATTCCTGTTTACGATGTATCTACAACAAGGCTGTAACAATAAGCAAAGGAAAATAATATATAATATTGTAAACTCGCTTGGTTATTAGAATTAAATACACGTTAAACATAAAACTATGTAGTTTAATTGATATTGTAAAGTAGGACATTTTTTTCAGTCCATCGCAGTCTTTTTGTTCTTCAGCGTATCCTTGCTCGTTACTCTTGTCATTAAAAAAAGTTAATATCAATACACAATTTGGGTAATTACTCTTTTTATCATCATAGCTTTTTACTTATTGCACATTAATCTTTACTAGTTGAATATTTCTGGCAGAGCTAGACATGAATCTTTGGGTTTCATACTTAATATTCGCCATTATAAGAAATATTTTATCTGGCTATGAGCCCTTGAGTTTACGATTTGAAGATGACATTGAAATTTAATACCACTTAGGATTTATTTTACATAAGTTCTGTTGTCGTTTTACGTTTCACATCTATATTATTACATATGATTGCGCCAAACTTCTCTCATGCACCAAAATAACTTATACTTCCAAATGATGTATAAATGTACATTCCACCTATTAGCGTATTCAAATCGTATATTTAACGTTGAATTATTCCAAATTATTTGACTCGTAAAGAACTTCTTAAATAATCAGCGCTCCATTAGCTGTGATCTTAAAATTAACTAAAAATAAAAATTTAAACTGATTTATACCGAAGATATGATGTCTAATTTATCCGCTGATCTTATTTATTAGTAACTATACGCCATTATAAGGTGCAATAGGTGAATTTCTCATAATATATTTAGTGTTTCTGACACTGAGAACCCGAGCGTATTGACAATATTATATTTTTGCAATATAGAATAGATTAATTCTGTTGGGACTCATATTAGGGTGATCATACTTCAATACCCTTACCCTTTACATCAAAAGTACAGCTTCTCGCATAATCCGTATGTGCTTCTCAAATGTGGCGTAGTTAAGGCTGGATTGAATTAACTTCACTGTATACAGATATAACACATTTTTTCTCTACTTTTTTCTTTTTTTAGGTCAAAAGCTGCATTCGACTTCTGCGAGATCAGAATCCTGAAACTGTCGAGTGTCTTCTCAATGCTATTCGGTAAATTAAAATTTTTCGCTCCATCTTATTTGACCTATCAGGGTTTCATTTTTCGCGTTTTGTTGAACTAAAAAATATCAAATATATTCACCAATTACAATTACGTATTTGCATTTGTTTGTATCTCTGGCTAAGCCGGTATCCTTAAAGGCTCGAGGTATTGATTTAAGCTTCTTGTTTATCGCCTCTAAATCGTTGTGACTAATTGGGCTGTAGTGGTTGCGGCCTTGCAATTCACCTTCTACGTCAACGTTGTCTTAAAAATGATGGAGGGAGCTTTGGTGGATCTCATTTTAACCTTTCTTCAGACGATTTAATCAGAATACCCTGTTTGCTTTAGTATCCTAATTGAATGGCTTATTATTCCGTCTTCTTACTAATTTATCAAGTAATCGTCATATTTTTTTCGCAATCATTATACTTTGCATTTTACAAATATTAATTCTTTTAAAGGTATGAAGACTAAGATGGTGTGGCCTTTTGTGTGGTCGCAGTCTCCTTTCGTTATATAGAGATTGTTTGACCTTGTTTTCGAAACATGGTCATATTGGTAGGAAGACTTATTGGAACGCACCTAGTCCGGGG